AAACGGTTTAATCCCTTCCCCCTGTTGCTAAACAGTCGCCCCTTCACCCACCCACCCAAATAACAAACACCTGGAGGAATTTTTAGTATTGGGGGGGTCTTTAGTATTAGGGTACGAAGCTTCCCCCTAATACTGATAAAAAAACACACACACACACGCATATATATATATACACATATTTCTATTTAAAAATCGATCAGATTTCTTTCTTTTTAAATCCAATTAAAATATGGCAAACAAGTGGATTCCGAAGCTTAATATCAAATAAAACCCCCAACATAAAAAATTATGTATGTTTTTCTTTTTCGAAATCGATTAGATTTCCTTTTAAAAATTTAAATAAAATATGGCCAAAAAATTGGATGTCGAAGTTTTTCCCTTATATTAAACCCTAATATCATTTTGTTTTTTTCCTGTTTCAAAATCGATTAGATTTCCTTTTGAAATCTAATGAAAAAAAAAAAAAAAATGATTTTGAAGCTTTCCCCTAATATCAAATTAAAATCCAATTATTAAAATATGTTCAAAAATTGGATTTCGATGCTTCCCCTAATCTTGCATGAAAAATTCCAATATAAAAAAACTAAATTTGTTCTATTTCAGAATCGATTAGATTTCCTTGTAAATTCAAATTAAGATATTGCCAGAAATTGGATTTCGAAGCTTTCCCCTAATATTAAACCCTCATATCAAAGACTATTTTTTCTATATCAAAATTCATTAGATTTCCTTTTGAAATCTAATTAGAATATGGTCAAAAATTGGATTTTGAAATTTTCCCCTAATATTACATTAAAAAACCCTAATATAAAATATTATTTTTTCTTTTTTGAAATCGATTCGATTTCCTTTTAAATTGTAGTAACAAAAATAAAAACAAAAACCGGATTTCGAAATGTTTCCTCTAATAATAAATTACCAGCCCTAATATATTTTTTAAAAAAAGAACTGTTTCAAAATCGATTAGTTTTCTGTTTAACATATAATTAAGATATTGCTAAAAATTGGATTTCGAAGTTTTCCCCTAAGATTAAATTAAAAACACTAATAAAAAAAAACTATGTTTTTTCGATTTCAAGAATCGATTAGATTTCCTTTTGACATCCAGCAAAAATATTTCCAGGCAATGCCAAAAAGTGGATTTCGAAGTTTTCCCCCAATATTAAAAAAACGTTGTAATATAAAATACTTATTTTTTCGACCTTAAAAGACCCTAGTTTAAAAAAACACCGGGGCTGACTAGTTTTTATTTTTTGGTGGTGAAATTCTGAAATGGGACCTTCATGTTTAATTTGTTTTTGAAAAGGTATCAATTAAAAGTCAAACTGGCCAGCCTGAAATTTCCCAAAATTTAACGCGGACCCTAGTAAAAGGAATCAATGTAATATTTTAGTATTTAGGGTACGTTTAGTAAAAGGAGATGGGGATTAGTAAGGTTTTCAATTTCATATAAGGGGAAGCTTCGAAATCCAATTTGGCAAGATTTGAGTTAGATTTTGAATAGGAATTCAATCGGTTTTGAAATATAAAGCTCATTTTTTAAAACAAATGTTTTCAATTTAATGTCACGGGGAAGCTTCGGAATCCAATTTTGGCAATATTTTAGTTAGATCTTATTTAAAAAATGTTTTCCAATTTAGTTTTTTTAAACCAAGGGGGAAGTTTCGCACCCTCATACTAAATACCCACTAAATACAAAAAACTATTCCGTGTGTTCATTATTGGGTGGGGAGGGGCAGACGGTTTTTTATGACGCAGGGATTGGTCAGGCATCACTTGCCGGAATTATTGGATTCTTTTGGGATGATTGGTATGATGTTTAGTCAGGCATGGTTCCCTTCAGTCATGCACGATTTTTGCAAAAATCCTATTTAGGCACGACCCCAAAATCCCAGCCCGGCAAATTCCGGCCCGGGCCCGGCAAATTCCGGCCCGTGCCCTGCAAATTCCGGCCCTGCGTTTTTCCAAAATCAGGCAAAACCAGTAAATCAGGTATTAAGTCAGGTGTAGTTACCTTTTAAGTCATTAAAGCTAGTCAGGCATGGTTCCAGTGGGTACCTTTTAATTGTGAAGGCTAGTCAGGCATGGTTCCCTTAATTCAGAGGCATGGGTACCTTTTAATTATGAAGGCTAGTCAGGCATGGGTTCTGTTAAGTCAGGCGTGGGTGGGTACCTCTTAATTATGAAGGCTAGTCAGACATGGTTCCCTTAAGTCGGGTGTGGTTACGCTTTAAGTCATGAAGGCTAGTCAGGCATGGGTACCTTTTAAGTGATGAAATCTGAATCAGGCGGAGCTCCTATTCTAAATGTGTTAAATAAAATTGTTCAGTGTGGAAAATCGATTTTTTTGGCTGGTCTACGGGCAAACCCTGTGTCTTCCAATACCATAGCGTGCTGATGCCGCTTGCCTGCATAATAGTTAAGGCCAAAGCTTAGGTCATCAGTGTGATCCTGAAATGGCGCCACGACCAAGAAGATGACATGTGTAAAATGGGCCCTGGATTAACAAAGGCTGACTAATGAATTTGGAGGATGCCACTAAAGGATGACATGTAATCACTTTTGAGGAGCACTCTATGGCACGCAGCGCGCGCAGCCTGCTTTACGGTTTAGCGTTTGAAAGTTTTAGGCTTTGTCTCTATGGCACGCAGCGTTTGAAAGTTTAACCATTTACCTCTATGGCAGGCTGTGCGCGCAGTACGCGTTACGGTTTAAAGTTTGAAAGTTTTAGGGTTTATGTGTGTGGCACGCAGTGCGCGCAGCGCGCATTAGGGTTCAGGGTTTGGAAGTTTTATAGTTTATTTTATTGCATGCAGCGTGCACGGTTGCAGGGTTGCAGGGTTCCAAGGTTCCAGGGTTCCAAGGTTGCAGGGTTCCAGAATCCTTGAGGGTTCCAGGGTGCCAAGGTTCCAAGGTTTCAGGGTTCCACGGTCGCAGGGTTCCAAGGTTCCAGGGTTTCAGGGTTCCAGGGTTCCGGGGTTCCAGGGTTCCAGGGTTCCAGGGTTCCAGGGTTCCAGGGTTCCGTTCCAAGGTTTCAGATTCCAAGGTTCCAGGGTACCAAGGTACCAAGGGTCCAAGGGTTCCAAGGGTTCCAGGGTTCCAAGGGTTCCAAGGGTTCCAAGGGTTCCAAGGGTTCCAAGGGTTCCACGGGTTCCAGGGTTTCAGGGTCCCAGCAGGGTGCCAGGTGTGCAGGGTTGCAGGGTTCCAAGGTTCCAGGGTTCCAAGCCAAGGTTTTCAGGGTTCCACGGTCGCAGGGTTCCAAGGTTCCAGGGTTTCAGGGTTCCAGGGTTCCGGGGTTCCAGGGTTCTGGGGTTCCAAGGTTTCAGGGTTCCAGGCTTCCAGGGTTCCAGGGTCCAGGGTTCCAGGGTTCCAGGGTTTCAGGGTTCCAGGATCCCAGCAGGGTTCCAGGTGTGCAGGGTTCCAGGTGTGCAGGGTTGCAGGGTTCCAAGGTTCCAGGGTTCCAAGGTTGCAGGGTTCCAAGGTTTCAGGGTTCCACGGTCGCAGGGTTCCAAGGTTCCAGGGTTTCAGGGTTCCAGGGTTCCGGGGTTCCAGGGTTCCAGGGTTCCAGGGTTCCAGGGTTCCGGGTTCCAAGGTTTCAGGGTTCCAGGGTTCCAGGGATCAGGGTTCCAGGTTCCAGGTTCCAGGGTACCAGGTTCCCACGGTTTCAGGGTTCCAAGGTTTCCAGGGTTCCAAGGGTTCCAGGGTTTCAGGGTCCCAGCAGGGTGCCAGCAGGGTGCCAGCAGGGTGCCAGCAGGGTGCCAGGTGTGCAGGGTTGCAGGGTTGCAGGGTTCCAAGGTTCCAGGGTTCCAAGGTTGCAGGGTTCCAGAATCCTTGAGGGTTCCAGGGTGCCAAGGTTCCAAGGTTTCAGGGTTCCACGGTCGCAGGGTTCCAAGGTTCCAGGTTTTCAGGGTTCCAGGGTTCCGGGGTTCCAGGGTTCCAGGGTTCCGGGCTTCCAAGGTTTCAGGGTTCCAGGGTTCCAAGGTTCCAGATTTTCCAGGATTCCAGGATTCCAGATTTTCCAGGATTCCAAGGTTCCAGGGTTCCAGGGTTCCAGGGTTCCAGGGTTCCAGGGTTCCAGGGTTCCAAGGTTCCAGGGTTCCAGGGTTCCAGGGTTCCACCGGATTTTGAAGGCTGCAAGTCCCCGCGAGCCAGCCCCAGCCCTAGAGATTGAAACCCAACAGGCCCTGCTGTTGGGAACTACTACTACTACTACCACTACCTACGACTACTACTACTACTACTACGACTACTACTACTACTACTACTACCTACGACTACTACTACTACTACTACTACTTCTGCTTCTACTACTACTACTACTGCTACTACTACCACTACTACTGCTACTACTGCTACTACTACTACTACTACTTCTACTACTACTACTATTACTACTACTACTCTACTCTACTACTACTACTACTACTGCTACTGCTACTACTACTACTACTACTACTACTAGAATTCCTGCTACGATCGCCAGGATTGTGTTACTATCCTTGCTAATATTTGTAATACTTCGAATTTCGTAGTACTACTTTGGCTAGTATTAGCGCTGCTAGCACTTCTAGTACTCCTAAAATCTCGGTACGGTTACTAGTAGTAGTACATACAAGTATGAATAGTACTACAAATACAATGTCACATCTACTTGAGCAGTGTTTAGCCTTAGCGATACCCCTTGTCAATCAATATTGCCCAATGATGGTAAAATTGCTACGAAACTGTGGTTAGCGATGGGACCTTTCCAAATTATGTTGATGTCTATTCGCCAGACAAGGAGTTTATACAGCCGCACATATATATACACCCTCTGGTTATTTAACATTGCCATGGAAAATGGCCCATTTATAGATGGTTTACCTATTAAAAATGGTGGATCTTTCCATGACTATGTTAGTCATAACCAGAGGGTATATGTCTATCATCATTCTTGGAGGAAACTCAGCAAGATGAATGGACCCTTCCCAGTTAACATCTTCAAAGCATGGGCAGCTGAGATGACGACCTTTCTGGCAAGCTACTCGGAGGCGGCACAGCGAGGTTACCCTCGGTTCCTGGGGTCATGACCATGGCTGAAAACAATGCCCCTTTTTGTAGATGATGTTCGGTTTAAAACCCTCATTTTTGGTTGAGTTTCATATATTTTCCCATGTTCCACCTTTTCCACCTTTTCTTTACGGGAGTTTTTTGTCGCCATGAATGGTGGTTAGTAAGCCGCCGGCTCGAAGCCTGGTTGCCTCTAAGCCAATTTCACCGTTGGATCCCTATGAAGCTTGTTGATACATAGCTACATAGCCTGTAAGCTGCAGATTGGGAACCTAACATATCCAACATCACATAATCCAAGTTGACAATGGACAATTTCCTAGTAGTCTCGGAGAATTTCTGGGGATGTTCAAGCTTTAGATTGGATGACGGTGTTTTTCCCATTGTTTGAAGGACAAATTCACCAAACAATGTGGATATATGATGATACATGAATTCATTTGGTTGATTTTCATGAATCAGTTCATCTAATGATTCACCGTTTATAGTATATATTTTATAGATGATTTATAGATGATTTTCCCATGCAACCCTCGATTAACCGGCATTTTTTCCAGCCACGTTGGATTCCCGGTTCGGTTCATGGTCGTTGCGACCGAAGGACGGCTCGGTGCTCAATGCAATGATGGGATGCGTGGCGAACAGCTCAGTGGTGAAGGACGGGTCACGACGGAACCCAGCCGAACCCAGTCCTCCCGAAGCCTGGGAAGAATGGTTGATGTTAGGGAAATCATCCCCTTTTATGGCCGCACTATTCATCTTAATTCAGGTGAATGAACTATGATAATTAATTGACCCAGATAGATGCTTGGAGGATTCTGTGGATTTCTGGCAGACACATGGATAGTTTATATAATATATTGTAAATCTATCTATCAAACTAGTTCATGGCAGTTATAAACCAACGTCTTTGATCTTTGGAGGATCACACCACGGTCCTCAAAACTGGTTACCGAACTGGTTAGAAACTGGCATTTGGCCTTTTATGAATGGGATAAGCCACTGGAAGGGGACTTACATTGTGAGGCCCCCGTTGGATAGCTAAGTTGGTTTATAACTACAATAACTATGGTTTATGGTATGCAAATAACTATAGTTACTGGGGCGAATCTAAACCAACAAACATCACGGGGGGGCCTCACATTGTACTAACCAGTAAGCAGGGTTAGATTCACCACTTTTGTGGTGTGATCCTCCCATCATCTGAATCTCTGTCGACAAACAGCCGGGTGGATTGACTCAGAAAATATGGCACTGTCATACGGATGAGACCTAGATACCCTCTGGTAAACTGTCACATAACCATGGAAAATCACCATTTTTCATGGGAAAACTCACTATTTCGACTGGGCCATGTTCAATAGCTTTTTGTATGTTTACCAGGCCGGGTACTTCATGGAGATCATCGGACCATATAAATCGCACCAAGCCTCGCAGTCCTGGTGGGTTTTCCAAGGCCTTGAAACCATGGACAATTTCCCATGGGTTTTCCACATCCACATCCAAGGGAAAACCATGGAAACTGTCCACCAATTGTAGATGATTTTCCACATTTACCATGTTAGTTCACCCCGGGCTGCCCGGGCCCCGGGCTGCCCAGGGTGAAAAGCTGGAAGGGCAAGCGCTTTGCGTATCAGCCAAGATGTGGTCACTAAAAAATGGGGAGAATGGCGACACACCATGGGATGAAATGCGATAGTAAATCAATGTAAATCACCTCACCACTTAGCTTACACCTGTGCAAGCCTTGGTTCAGTAGGAATATGTCCACACGATTCCCCACGTATTGGGGTTTTATCAGGACTAGACTAACCAACGAAACTTAGTATATAGATGTATATAGATCTTTGAACGTCTAACCAAATTGTCATCCATTTGTTGATGTTTGTTTCCCTTAAAAAAACAGCAAGTTATATCGCCGTCCAGGAGATTCTTCAACAACTCCTGAGATTCTACAGGCGCTGGGGTCGTCCTCGTTGGTGTCGCATAGTTGGCATCGGCCATTCCGATGCATCATGTTTCTAACGTAGATCTTGGTTAGTGTTTTATAGTGATTTAATGGCATTTTATAGTGATTCAATGGCATTTTATAGTGATTTAATGGCATTTTATAGTGATTTAATGGCATTTTATAGTGATTCAATGGCATTTTATAGTGATTTAATGGCATTTTATAGTGATTTAATGTGATTTTACAGTGATTTAATGGGATATTACTGGGATATACCCTCTGGTTATGACTAACATAGCTATTGAAAATTGCCATGTATAGTGGATTTACCTATTGAAAATGGTGATTTTCCATAGTTATGTGACAGTTTACCAGAGGGTATAACTTTCATAACGTGGAACGTCACCACACATTGTGTACATATCATGAAATATCAAGCTGCACATGAATTTCTGTCGCGGAGTATCACAGACTAACTGACTTGTTCCATGTCTCGGAGTTTATTTCTTTTCCATGTTTGGACATGGGAAAGCATCTCCAAATTTCGAAGCCACTGTCACTTGTACGACTTGTACGACTTGTACGAAAACAATTGGAAGAGTTGATGCCTTGGGACAGCTGGCACAGCTGTCATTTGACTTGGTCGAATGTCAACCCAAGGCCGCAAGAGGATTTGGGGATGGTTGAAATCCCATAAATCCATGGTGATGACTTAGGGATGGTACTTGAATTGTCTACTATGGCCCGAACGACCAGTTATCAGATGTTATAAGTACTGAAATAACCCCACTTATAGTGACTTATAGAATGTAATCCCATAGAAATAACCAGTTATAACTAGCCATGACTCAATTTTGCTGTGATATTCCCATTGATCTTGTTTCCTATGCTTTTCCGATGGTCTTCCACCCAGTTCCTAGCCATAAAAACAGTCGCCAGGGGTGAAGCCGTTGAGCGCTACGGCACGACCTCGGAATGGATGGGTCCCGTGACGGCGCTCGCGGGGCTGAAGGTGCCAGTGGTAGTGCCGTTGTGGTAGAATCTGGTGCCAGTCAGTGGTAAACTAACATAACTATGGAAAATCACCATGCTATTAATGGGAAAATCAATTATTTCTATGTCCATTTTCGATAGCTTTTTGTATGTTTACCAGAGGTTAGTATCTATCCCATAGGATCCATGGTGCTGGGATATATGCTAACATGACTGGGGTATATTGATGGGATCCATGTCACCATATATAGCAGCACCATGGATCCTATGGGATATAGATTCCAAATTTATGATTCTACTCAGAGTTGTTTTAGGTAGGTCAGTAGGTCATCATTTTTTATTTTTTGATCATTTTCTGGTTGGTGCTTTGGAACCATGGCTGGATTATGACTTTCCATTCAGTTGGGAATGGAAAATCATCCCAACTGACCAAGTCCATCATTTTTCAGAGGGGTAGACCTACCACCAACCAGGAATCTGGCGCCAGAAATAGTGAGAATCATAATCATGTGGATAATGATTATAACAATACCCATGACGGATCCATGTATGCTGCTATATATGGTGACATGGATCCCATCAATATACCCCAGTCATGTTAGCATATATACCAGCACCATGGATCCTATGGGATATATAATATCATATGATAGATACTATAATAATGTGGTATCTTATGATGGATTATAATGTATGTGATAATGGATTTTAATATCCATCATAGATAGAATATGATAGAATTATAGAACCTATTAATCGTAATATGATTATGTGATTGCAAAAAAAAAATATAATGGATTACTTATAACTATGATAATTCATAGATAGATAATGATAATGATATATAGATAATTATTCGAACTATCTTAAATAATGTGGATAGATAATTAGAAGAATAGATAAACAGATAGATCATGATTATAGTATCCATCATATGGTGCCAGTAAGAAATATTGATAATTAATTATAGCAGAGATAAATAATTGTTATAGCAGAAATAATGGCAATAAACATAATAATTATAGTTAGAATTATTAATAATAGATAATATCATTATAATGTCATGATAATAGCAGAGATAATTAGAATGATAGTGATCATTGCGTGGATGGAAGAAATCCTGCACCAGTTGATAAGTGGTCTATCCCATTATTTCTAAGGTTTAAACCATCCAAGGTGGTGCAGGATTTCTTCACGCAGCATAGTAACACTTATGTATGTAATTATCATTGCATATGCGTTTGTATATACGTATATATATATGCATTTAGCTGGTTAATGATAGATAACGCTGTATCTGCCCAAGAATAGTAAGACATGGTGCACAGAAGCCATAAATGGCTTGTAAAGATTATCCCCACCCATTTTGCCACATTCATTATCCATATTCCCAGGAACAAATTGGGAGAGGAGCTACTGCGAATTGAGTTTTCCACACTCTAGTTGAGCAAATGGAGTTCAACCAGCAGGAATAAGATTTGAAACAGCAATCATATATCAGCAACTCATATCCCTATTCCTATATGATGTTCCATTCATTGTTCCATGATTGAATATTCATATTCCATTCATATCCCTATTCTTTATGTTTATTTTTCGAATCCAGTGATTCTCGGGCCTAGTTCCACACAGGCAGTGGCCAACAGAGACTGTCCAGACCAGGGTTTGCAGCCCTGGAGGGGCGCTGAGATCCTCTGTGGTCGCTTGGATGCGGGTGGATGACTGCAGAAAAAACCTGGTTTTTCACCAATGGATCTATAGATGGATCTCTATATTGGAAAATCTCAGGCATTTTTTCAGCGAATTTTGATGTGAAATTTATGAAATACTGGGATTTTCCCATTGATCCATTGATATCAAAATGCCTAAGATGTGAAATTTTGATCCCATTCAGATGTGAAATATCATTTGAAAGTCGTTTGATTTGAATCTGGGTCTATCCCGATATGGGGTTGCCTCGTTGAATCCTCTGGGGCATCCGATGGCAACGGACAACGGATTTCCCGTCCCAGCTTGGACCAAGTACAGGTGTTGGAATACGATATAACTGGTGCTAAACGTAGGGAATGGATGGGCTGCTGCGGGTTGCTGGGATGATTATTAGATAACCCTACTTACGTTTAGCACGGTGTGCAGCCCGGTGGTTCGAGCCCAGGTCCGCACGTCTTCAGGATGTTCGAGGCAGGATGACATCCGTCGCATCCGTTCATTTAGTCTAACATAGCTATAGAAAATGAGCCATGTATGGATGGTTCACCTTTTGAACATAGTGATTTTTCATAGCAAAGTGGTAAATTACCAGAGGCTATCACTTTTATTCCTGGTAAATACCCCTTTGATCCCAGGTTGCTTGTACACATTATCACTTATCACAAAATACATGGGGCTACTTTCGAATAGTTAATCCTAGATCCTTTAGTTGTCAGATTGCCAGGGGGTATCAAACCAATACTTGTCCATTTATATCCCATGATTTTTAATGATTTTTCTCTAATTATCATTCCCAGAGTATTTTATTGACTGGGGAATATGTAATATCCATTATTCTTATGAGTGAAATGATTCCATTGAATCATTGATATCCCATTACTATTCCATTATTTCCCACACATATTCCCATGATGTTTCACTCATATTCCCATGATCCATGAATGTTTCAGTAATATGATATTCCCATTATGATATTCCATGACTCCATTGATATCCCATGATATTCCCATGATGTTTCACATATCCATATTCCCATGCTAGACACACGACTACCGTGCAGGAGAGGCAGCTCCCGTGACTTGGTTCTGGAATTCGCCCTTGGTGACGGAGAGTCTCTGGTGACATATCCCACATGGTTGGTTTAGAAGGGAAAATCCCATTCAACTTATGTTATATTCCTATGATTGGTGCTTTTTTTTCCTATTATCTATTCTACCCCATGGGTTACCCTTTGGTGAACGAACAGTTTGCTATTAAAGCAATGGCCAGCAATGGCCATAGAAATCGTTGATTTACCCATGAAACTTGCTGATTTTCCATAGTTTTTTTGTATGTTTAGCAGAGGGGAACATTGACCCTGAAAGTCACATTTGTTTGTAGTGGCAACTAATCTTCCAATCTTGTGGCAGGGTCGAACTGTTAATTTACTAGTATATTGAGCATATTGTAGGGAAAAATGATGGAAATATCATTGGAAAATAATCCGATTTGACCCTCTCAGGGGTCATCGTTGAGCCTGAGTGTGAAACATCTCATCGTTGTTCACATTCCCACCCCATGTCTTGGTTGGTTCAAAGGTAAACATCGCCCATCATCAACCAAGAATGAGTTCTTGATACATCGGCTCAAAAAATATATCTCCTCTGGTTATGACTAATATAGCCATGGAAAATCCCCAAACTAAATGGAGGTTTCTAGCTGGGAAAATCATCTATAAATGGGCCGTGTTATGGCTATGTTAAATAACCAGAGTGTAGGAAAATATGTGAATCATCACTATTTCAGTGGAATTTGTTTTTTCTATTCTTTGGGGATTGACTGTAATATCCTGGTGGTGCTTTGATGGACATATAATCTACAAACGGATTAGTTAATATACCAATCCTCACACGGACACCATGGACATGTATAGTGAGACATGCAACCAACATTCCAAATTTTGGGTTTTGCCCATGTGGAATTAGCTCCAAGAATTGCAATTGTTTTTGCTTGTAGTGGCTGGACCAAGCCTAACTTAGGGCCCTAGGGTTACCCACTTGCGCTTCGGATGAGCCAGCAAAGATGAGATGGGGAATACGCTGAGAACGAACCAAGAACCAGCCAGTCTGAGGGTTTTTTTGGCTGACCAGTAAAGATACACACATTGCTAACATTGGTTCCAGAAGAATCCAGCATTTGGTAAATATGATGTGAGCACGGGAAATTTCCAGGGATTAAATTGAGACAGACATACAGAAATATTTTGCATGATATTATATCAGTTATATTATATGTCTTCAAATTTGAAGATTGCCCTAAAAGGTAGTGCCCAGCAGTTGTAATAATTCGGTCGATTTTCGGCCATTACATACACCAATCGATACACACGCAGAAATTATATCATCTAGGGTTTGTTTGAGAATAGGGCATTACCAATTCCAACGGATTATTTTACAGTAATTATCCTCATGAAAATTGTCATTTTGAGGTTATATTCCATGTTCAGACACCTATATTTAATCTAACTTAGCTAACTTAGCTAACCAACAAACTTCGATTCTTCTTGATTTGATTAATCACCGTGTAACTGTTGGTTAATTAAGCATGCATTCTTGCCTCTTAAACTATTTCTTTCAACCAACAGAACTACTCAGGCTTATACATCACATATAAGTGATAGATCTATGTGCATATATATATATACATATTCTAAGTTGTTTATCGTTATTGGAGGGAGCTACCATATATACACACACACATATATATATATATATACACATGACACATATCACCAGTATCTCCCCGAGAAAAATGGTGAATTTCACCCAGCAGCCGCATGCCTTGTGCGTATTTCCCAGGTGTTGGCTGCCCGAGGATCCAGATTGCCCGGGCAGCCGCTACACCAGCGACTTTCCCGGGGTCAAATATGGAATCTACGTGCCGTTTCTGGGCGATACGGTATGGCAGGTATGGTTATGTGGCAAGATGACGCGGATGGATTTGGATGGGATGTAATCTATAGATACTTGTAGATACTTATAGATACTTATAGATACTTATAGATACGTATAGATACTTATAGATACGTATAGATACTTATAGATACTTATAGATACTTAGATAGATTCCTATATAGATACCTATAGATGCCTATGGATACCCAGAATGATTTGAATGGGATATAACATCATAAAACCATATAATCCCCAAAAAAACGATGCAGAAAAGCTGACAAAATCCAGCGTCGAGCGAAGGTCAGGGCCACTGGTCGCCTGGCCTCGCTTCGCGAACTGTTCAGAGTCGCTTGGGCCAAAAAAACCCAAGTCGTTGGGTGGGAAGAGACCGTTGCGAAGCCATAGGAAAACCATAGGAAAACCATAGGAAAACTGGTGATTGAATGGATTTTACCAGGAAAAATGGTGAGTTAACTATGGGAAAATTGTGATTTTACACGAAGAACGATGTGGTGTTTATAAAAAAAACATGTTTTTTTACCAAACAAGAATGGTGATTTACTGTAACACTGTACTGGTATGTATGGCTGATTTGTGATATAGGTACACATAACTAGGTGAATTTAGTACATATAAGCAACTAGTTGATGGGAATTACAAGCCAACTTATATTTGGGGTGCCTACCTTTTTTTGAAAATCTATCCCATGCCATGGGAATCCAAACACAACGACCACATAGATGTGTATTAATGGAATGATAGCAAATTGCATATCATATATGGGTATGGGGTCAATACCTATAGATACATTTTTAGTGGGATGAACATCCATTTACAACTATTTTGGGGTTCACTAGGTACCAGGGTTTTGACCCATCCCCATATGATAATATAGAGATAGTGATAGGATACGATATCATGGGCATGCCATTGGGTAAATTAGCATGCGATGAACAATCCCAAGTTATTAAGGTAAATCATTCGCAGGAATCAACCAAGGAAACGAAGGGAATAAACATTTGGGAGAAAAAAGGGGTTTAGAATTTATGATTACTTAGATTACTTGGGGTAAAAATGTTTTATCCATACATTTGGTAATCATTAGAATTTATCAGGGGTAAACATACCCATCATGATTACTTGGTGCCCCTTTGTTCAGGAGATTCTTCAGATACCTGATTTGGAGGCAGCACTGACCAATATAAGGTGCAAGACCTCCACTTAACGGATTTGTTATTATGGATACACCCCTAAACCCAACACCACTAGGAGAAAGAACAGGTTTTTTAACGGTGGGTATCTCCCAAGCGTTGTTTTTAGTGGGTTCGAAACTAGACATAAAACCGTAGAAACCTGCGAATCTATGTCGCCTATTATTCTGGATATACCCATACCAAGACCCCCAAATAGCTTCAAACAAATGGTAAGGGTACACACGGATACAAACGGAGTCTCCAGGTATAACATGGTATAACTACAATAGAACTTGTTTTTTTAGCGGTATATATACTATATACACAAAACTAGGGCTATAAACATATACTGTATATATATATATATTTGTTTATATTTTTTTTTAATTTTTATTTATATATTTATTTATATAGTTACATTTAAGCCATGAAAAATAGAACTCTCCCCGTTGCTGCGCTGCTCGGTAGGTGGGGCTGCCTTACAGGGGGCTGGCCAACGGAGACCCCAACCCAAGAGGCTGTTTCGCCGTGGGAAGTGGGGGAAGTGATTGGATGGGCATATGTAAATTTGTGCACATATATATAAATATATAAATACATATAGTTGATTTACAGTTGATTTACCTAATTATTCAAAAAGGTGATTTTCTATAGATTTGGGTAAACTATAACTTCCTCACTGTTCTCCCTCACTATAATCATGGTTAGTAAGGGGAATCATCCCCAAGACAGCTTTATTTCATGGTGACTTGTTATAATTTGTACATATATAATCATATATATATATATACACATGTATATACATAATACATATATGTATATCATGTTAATGCTAACATAGAGCGATAGATCAGTGGATGGACGGATAGATTGACAGATAGATAGACAGACAGATAGGCAGATAGACAGATGGATTGATGGATGGGTGGATATATATATATATATGTGTGTGTGCGTGTGTGTGTGCGTATTCATGTGTAATTATGTGGAGTTGTAAACAGGAGTAGGTGCGTAGGTACATAGATGGGTAGAAAAGGAGATAGATAGGTAGAGACATATATAGATAGATAAACATGCCTCCTGATTTTAAGTCGGCACTTCGTTGAATCTTTATTTCACGAATCAGTTCATCAGATCCTCACATTAACTATGCACTTTTCATTTGGCTAAATCAATATTTTAGCTCCTTAAATTGTTGTTGTAGTTAGTTCAATCTCTGGGAATGGGTTCAAAGCCTTTTTTGTTGGCTACTCTTTGGTATTCAAACATGGCAATGGAAAATCCTTCATTTCTAGATGATTTCATGGTGGCGAATTTTCCCAAAAAATCATTGTCCCATTCAAATGCCCATTGATCAGGGGACACTCCCATTGCCATGATTGGTTATAGGATGGTAGATCTACGGTAGATGGGACAATGGGAATGGGAACCCCCTGATTTTTCCTAATCTAACTTTAATCATGTTCAATCCTTGTTTTTCCCTCACTTCCTCCCTCCCCTCCAGAATCCAGGATGCCCACAACCGCACTGCAGGTAAACAGCCTTTGGAGTGACACCTGAGCGGCCTTGAACTGCACAGCATTATAGTGCGAAACTCCATGCCCGGCCATGTGTCTGGGTCATGTCACTAGCGACCTCACAAGGACGTAACCCAATGCCATATCCCAGTAAGCAACCAAAGCGTGGGTATCCTTGGGTTACTTCACATCATTCCTAGGGCCCAAATTACATCTTATAAACCCCAAAATGCATTCTTGTCATATTCTTTACAATGTGGTAAGGTAAACCCACAAGTAACAATAGCAATAATGATAATTAATTGCAATAGTAATGTTAATAGATATCATATTAATAAATACCCATAATAGTCGCAATAGTACATCCAAAGCAAACCCTACCATTTACAGGGATGGTATCAATCCCACCCATTTATTGTTATTTTGGGGATGGCTTGTGGCTGTTTACCACAAAAATAAAGGGGGGAATTATGACAGACCCAGCTGATTTGTAGTTGATTTACCTATTCAAACTAGTGATTTTCTATAGTTTTTTTGTATGTTTACCAGAGGGTAGGAACAGACAACAGCCCGGTCTTGGACACCTCATGCCTCAGTGAGTCTCGAATTTGGGAAATCCAGGTGACCCAGACTCTGCTGGCATTCCTTGCGTTGAATAGCCGTTGAAATGACCATTGGGTGCATCCAAGAATTGGCTCCACGCATGATACCACATAGCCAATCTAGTGGGAAGTACGTTTCATACTCTCTCACTGAATCTAACTTTAACAATTTGATGACATTGATTGAAATTGTCCAGTGGTGTTTCCAGTTGGTTAATGATCCCATCAAACATACATCTACACATACGAACTAGTTCATAGTTTAATTACCACAAACTATACTAGGCACCTTGTGGCTTTCTGGCACTTCGCTTTCTGGGTTTAGCTCCGATGCACCCAGATGGTATCCTTGATAGGCCACGACCTCGCGAAACTTAAACGGTTAAAAACATCTGGCACTTCCATGCAGGGCAACCATAGTGATGCATCGGGGTAGGTATATGGGTCATAGACATAGATGCATATGATATTATAAAATATTATGGTTGTATGTGTGTCTATCTATATATCGATCGATCTATCTACCTATCGATCTACCTATCGATCTATCTATCTCTATCTCTATCTATCTATATCTATCTATATCTATCTATATCTATCTATATCTATCTATATCTATCTATATCTATCTATATCTATCTATATCTATCTATATCTATCTATATCTATCTATATCTATCTATATCTATCTATATCTATCTATATCTATCTATATTTATCTATATCTATCTATATCTACCTATATCTATCTATATCTATCTATATCTATCTATATCTATCTATATCTATCTATATCTATCTATATCTATCTATATCTATCTATATATCTATCTCTATTTATTATATCTATATATATATATATTTATCTATATCTATATCTATATCTATATCTATCTATCTCTGTCCTCTCTCTCTCTCTCTCGCGTATCTAATCTAATCTAATATACTCTAATTACTCTAATCTCATCTGATCTGATCTAATCTAATCTAATCTAATCTATCTACTGAACGTATGCTCAACTAGGTAGTCAACCGCGCTCTACGAAGCTAGGCTTGACATTATCCATAGTTGGGACCGGGATGATTCTGGTGGTTCTATGCTTTAGACATCCCCTGTGCATGATTAGATTTTCATTTGATGATCGAAAATCCATGTGTTTTCTGCGAAGGTTTTGCTGATTCAATCATATTCCGTAGGTCTTGGTTTGCACCCCATCAACCCCCAGTCCCAACTTGTTTCAAAGACACAATTTAGCTCTATCCAGTCATGTTTACCAAATTTGCTATCATAAATCAGCTATATAATATACAGCCCATATTAAAGCCTCATTTTTTCTGGTAAAGTAATCGAAATCACAGATTCTTCCGTTTGCTTGGCCACAGTTAAAGCCCGAAATACCAGTTGTTTAAGTCAGTTTTTGCAACCCCATTTATGCATTGATAACCCCAGTTATAACATGTTGCAAACAGATAGTGAATTGACTTGTATATAGTCATATTCCACCATAGTTCACCCCAGTTATAAGTGGATTAACCCTGCTTTTCCCACTTGGGGTATAACCAAATCATCATGTTCCCATAGTGTTCCTATGGGTTCTCTATAGTTTTCCTATGGTTTTGCGGCTTAAATCATCATAAATATGCAGAAATCATCATTTTCCTATGGGTTTTCCTGTAGTTGTCCTATGGTTTTACCAACCTTGGAGGGCTTAATCTGGCCACCCCAAGGCGCCAGATTGCGCCAGAGGTACAGCTCAGTGACTTCGTGGGCGAGTCCCTTGCAGAGACAGAGGCCCAAACATGATGATTTCACCATATTATGGAATATGGGTATGGATCAATACCTATTAATACCATTTTTAGGGGGATGAACATCCATTTACCAGCTATTTGATGTTCACCAGGGGTACAAGGTTTTGACACACTGCCATATTTCACCCAGAAAACCATGGGAAATCATAGGAACACCATAGGACAACATGGGAACATGATGATTTAAGCCACTAAATCGACATGGTGAGACATTTCATATTTTTCATGGGATGTATATATCGCTGATTTATGAGAGTTCAAAAAAGGGGCAAAGAACTCCAATTTCACTATATACTATGGTCTATGATGCTTATAACATCTTATAACTTATGCCTCTGTTTACTGGGGTTTACAAACCATCCAACTCCTAACTGCCGGGTCCCACATTGCAGAACTTGAGATGATAAAAAATATAGCAGAGTACCCAAAGATACTCCAAAACTGGTGGTAATGAAGTGGGTTTATATGCTTGCTTTTGTTTTGGATTTGTTTGGATTTTTGGACAACCAGCTTTCGATCTCTAATCTAATTGGGTACTCAGGTTTATTGCATGCACTGGGGCTACATGGAATATTCGCCTGCATTTGGGTCACTTCAGGGGTAAATGTTGGTGAGGCAACGTGGTACACCAGAGTTCGAGAATAGAGATAGAATCCACACATGGTTGATGGCTCAAGGGTGTTCAATTCAGTAATGATCACTTAAAGAAACAAACTTGTTGGGGACAAGTACAGACTGTATAGACTGTCTAGACTGTATAGACTGTATAGACTGTATAGACCCATTATTACTGTACCTATGTTATTCAAGATATATGTGCACACACACACACACAGAGACACTGACACACAGACACACTGACACACGCACACAAACAGAATTATATATATATATATATGCATTATTCTATATAAATTATATATATATATATTTATATATGCATTATCCTATATATTATATTATATTATATTATATCATATTATATTATATTATATTAAAAAATATTATCTTGTATTACATTACATTATATTATATTATATTATATTATATATTGTATTACTATCATTTTTATTGTTATTTACATATATATATATACACTCATTCCTATCATTATTCTTATTAATATTAGTTATTAATTACTTATCATTATCATCATCATCATCATCATCATTATTATTATTATATATATATATATATATTATGCTTGTTTGTGCAGCACTGTCCGGCACAATATGGCACAAGATGTCTCAACCATCGATTTTCCGTTTCAGGTGGACCAGGTAGATCCATACCTGAAGTCGCTTGGCGAAACGACGTCCATTTTGGTTGTCTTTTTGGGAAGGGGAAACGACTGGATAACTAGTGAAACCGGGGAGGAATGGTGGGTTGAACCATCCAAAAATGGGGTTTTTGCCGCCGGAAATGGTGACGGGGAGAAGACATGAAAAAAAACAGGGAAACCAAGTGGATGGGGTGATTGAAGGGGAAGTTCAGCGACAAAATGCGGGGAACAAATCCTTTGGATTTAGCCATCAAAACCAGGGGTAAACCAACTGGATTGGCACTGAAGAGCATTAAACCAGCCAAGAAGAACGTGGTTTAATCAGATCGGCACTTTTTGGCGGAGATAGCCCTCCTAATTTATCAGCCGGAAACTATAGTTTGTTACTCCTTGGTTGGAATGAATGCTTAGTTTTTTGTGTAAATGACGAATTCTTTATGTGTCCATGGGTCAAAACCTATAACACCATAGGTAACTGTCCATTTACGAGGAGGACCGACTATTCATTTACAAAAAACTATGTGAAGTTCACCAGGGGCGGCTGTTGACCCCCCATCTTCCCGGCCAGTGCAGCTCCCGGCGAAACCTTGGTCGGCCGATTTCAGGATCGATTTCGATAACTTCAAAGTCTTCAAGTCCAATGTGGAGCAAAACAACAGGAGCGGAGCAGAGGCAGTGTACAGAAAAATGGCCCATTTACACATCCAAATGCCAGTTATAAGTACTAACAAAAGCCCATTTATAGAATGTATAATCCATAGAAATAACCGGTTATAACTCATAGACGGCCAAAACTGTTTGGCTCTTGTGGGTTCTACAAGAGTCTGAGCGAAAGGTCCTCGGGGAATAAATTTAATTAACACAAGTCTGAATTAGTACAATCTGGGACCCCGTAGTCAGCTAAGTTTTTTTTTTTACAACAGGATTAACTAGGGTTTATCGTAGCATATCATATGTCTATCACATGCTACAACTATAGTTCGATGGTATTACAAACCAACAATTCCACAGAATGTCACCTGGGAGCGCCTACATAGCACGTTTGCTCCCTCATTGTGAAAAAATACACAATTTTCCCACCTTCCAGGTGCGGGTCTCTAGATTTTAACAAAGGTGCAGCTGCAACTCCTTCTTCTCCTATTCCTCCTCCACCTCCTTTTCCTCTTCATCTCCAGCTGCGGACGAAGTGGGCCATTCCTGGACCCGAACACCTGTGGAGTGCGCCTGTGCCCAAACACATGCCAGAGAATGCTAGAATGAATGCCTCAAAAGATGCCGGATAGACTGCCAGAATAGATGCCAGAAAGTATGTCAGAATAGATGC